TGAAGAAATTATATTAGAATGGGCAATAAAGAATCTCAAAATGAAGTTGGTTAAGGCAAAAGGAGCCCAGAAGTTTAGAAAACAAAGAATGTGGGAATTGGCTGCTATTACTATTGGCCTTAACATAGCATCTGAAAGCATTTTAACTGATGTTTCTAAGTTAATAGAGCAAAATTTCTAGATGTTTTCGTCAACCCCTAATTTCTTTAACTAGAGAGGATTCATGACCATTCCATTCCACCTAAACTAGACTCCCAACCTTTAAATTGAAACCATACCATTAGTTCTATTCCCAGAAAATAGAAATAGAGAACCAAGTGTTAGAAATTCTCACCAACAAGATTTTTAAGCCAAGTAACTCCTTTACATCACAAGTCTTATTGGAAAGGAAAAAAAGACAATACTTGGTGCTTTTGTGTTGACTACAGACAACTTGATAACCTAATCATTAAAAACAATTCCCTATACCCAACATAGATGAACTTTTAGCTGAATTGCATGAAGCAAAGTGGCTCACCAAGCTGCTTCTAAGATCTATATATCATCAAATTAGGGTAAAACTTGAAGATACACACAACACTGCTTACCAAACCCATCATAGGCATTTTGAGATTTTGGTTATGCCCTTTGGCCTTAGTAATGCACCATCAACCTTTTAGTCCCTTATGAACCAAATATTTTAGCCTTATCTTAGAATTTTGTTCTAGTTTTTTAAATGATACTCTAATATATAGCTTAACCTTGAATGGCATATTCAACATCTGCAAATTGTATTTTTCAAACTTAAGAAATATCAGCTATATGCAAAAAGATACAAGTGCATCCTTGCATAGCAGCAGGTCGAGTATCTGGGCCATATTGTTAATCAGAAAGGTGTAAAATGTATAGAGGGAAGGTAAACTATATCATGACTTAGCTTAGACCAGAATTTGTCAAAGCTCTTAGGGATTTTTTTGGCCGAATAGGTTACTACCGTAGGTTTATAAAAGGATATAGGATGATTAGCAATCCTTTGACTAATTTACCTAAGAAAATGGATTTCACTAGGATGAATAGGCTGAATAGGCATTTTCGAAACTTAAAAGGCCATGAGCATAGCCTCTGTACTTAGACTTCTAGATTTTTTCAAGCCTTTTGTTATTGAAACAGATACATGTGGCAAGAGAATATGGGTAGTTTTGATGCAAGAGAAGCGGCCTATAGCTTTCGTTAGCAAAGCTTTAGGTATTAAAAACCTGGATTTATCTGTTTATGAGAAGGAATTGTTGGTTGTAGTAATGGCAATCAATAAGTGGAGACGCTATTTGATTGGCTACTATTTCTTCATTTGGATAGATTACCAAGCCTCAAGTACCTTTTGGAATAGAATCTGACTCTATGTTTGCAGTATAAATGGCTGAGTAGATTGTTGAGAATGGACTACTAGATTCAGTATAGGAAGGGTACGAAAAATAAAGCAGCAGATACTTTATCTCGTAGGGATTTTCCAAAAGAAGGGGATTGGATGATGATGTCTACTGTTCAATCCTAATGGCTTAGGGATGTGATTAATAGTTATGAGGAAGATGAGAAATATCAAAATCTTATTGTTTAACTGGTCTTAGAACCTAACAACAAACCACATTTTCAATATCAGAATGGGCTGCTTGAGTATAAAGGAAGGATATTTGTGGGAAAGAATGGTCAGTTCAGAGACCAAAATTTTCAATCCAGGCATAATTTTGCAATTGGAGGGGATTCTGGCAGTAATGTAGCATACAAAGGATCAAAGTAGTCTTTTATTAGCCCTCACTTAAAACTGATGTGATCAGGATGGTGCAAGAATGTGATATCTGTAAAAAAAAAAAAAAAGCATCAGAATCTGTCAAAGAATGTGTACTCCTTTTTTTAAGAATATGGCCACAGATTAGTATGGATTTTATTGAAGGTTCACTACAATTTCAGGGGTAAGATATCATAATAGTGGTGGTAGATCAGCTTACCAAATTTGGACATTTTGTTACCCTCAAAAATCTTTTTACTCCTGCAAATATGGCTAAACTGTTTCTGGACACAGTGTTCAAATGCCATGGATTGCCCGATTTGACAAAGACAAGTTATTTACTACTCTCTTTTGGCAAGAACATTTTAAACTACTTGAAATTCAACTTCATTTGAGTAGTGCCAACCACCCACAAACTAAAAGGTAAATGGAAAGACTCAACTAGTGTTTAGAATGCTACATGAGGTGTCTATCTATAAATAGACTACATATGTCGCATCAGTAGTTGAGTATGGCAGAATGGTATTACAACAGTAATTTCCATTCTAGCATTAAGATGATTCTTTTCAAAGCATTATATACATACAAACCTCGATATTTGCCTATGGTGCTATACCTAGAAAGTGTTACTTTTGCAACAGAAAATTTTGTTAAAGATAGATAATTTATGACTCAGATTCTACATGATTACCTTGTACAGTCCCAGAGCAGGATGAAATTCTACAATGATAAAAATAGATCTAAGAGAGAGTTTGCTATTGGAGATTTGGTGTTCTTGCATTTACAGCCTTAGAGACAATAATCTCTGTGGAGTTGAGGAGATAGTTCAAGTTTTCTGCCAAGTTTTATGGGCCATTTCCTGTGATAGCCAAGATAGGGAAGGTAGACTACAGATACAGCTAGCTCCTGAATATGAAATCCACCCCATCTTTCATGTATCATTATTGAGTTAGAAGTTGGGGAATGCTCAAACAACCATGCCTTCCTTACTATTACTTGGCACTAATAGGCAAGCTTTAGTGGAACCGGAACTTATGTTGAACGCAGGGTAATCATAACGGAATCTAAGACTGTGATCCAAGTATTGATGCATTGGCTCAATCTGAGTCTTGAAGAATCAACATGGAATGATTTGTCATTCATCAAAACTCAATTTCCACTCTTTAATCCTTGAGGACAAAGATTGTTTAAGTAAATGAGAATTGTAACAGTGTTGATGACTTAGTTACCATATGCTGTCATTTTCGTTATAGAAGTAGGTTTTAAGTCTATAGAAGTATATTAGTCAGATGGGTCATAACAGTTTAGTCCAATTCCTTGTAACTGACCAACTGTTATTGGAGTTGGAAACTGTCCGTAAACTACTTAAAAGGGCTGATTGTACCCATTTGGGAGGTTATGCCGAGAATTAATAATATTTTTGTTATTTTCACCCTATTCTTTCTTCCTTTTCTATCTCTCTTTCCCTTACTCTCTCTCTCTCTCTCTCTTTTCCTTCTTTCTTCATTTTTTGCCTTATGGCCTCTAGATTGTCACAAAAACTTAACTTATTATGAACAAAAATAACAAGAGTCTAGCATGAACTAGGAAATTAGGATAATTTTAAAAAAATTTAATAACCTGTAAGCATAGATTAGATAATAGATATACATATAAATATATGATTTTAGGGCAAATTCCATTTTATCCCCCTGTGGTTTAACGTTTTTTTACATAACCCTTCTATGGTTTCAAAAGTTATACATAACCCCTTTATAGTTTGGATTAGAGTGTCAAAGTGACGGGAATGATCATTCGTAACGGAGTCACCTAAATTGTCAAAAATACTCTTATGTAAAGTTGAAAATTATTTATTAACCAAGGGGGTTATGTGTATATTTTGAAAACCATAAGGGGGTTGTATGGTAAAATATTAAACCATAAGGGGGTTATATAGTAAAATAAAAAAAATCATACGGGGTTAATGTGTCATGTATTTATAAGGATAATTTTGATATTTTTAGAAGTTTCGTTACGAGTGACTATTTCCATCACTTTGACATTTTAATCCAAACCATGAGGGGGTTATGTATATCTTTTGAAATCATATGGGGTTATGTGAAAAAACGCTAAACTACAGGGGAGTAAAATGTAATTTGCCCATGATTTTATGATGAGTGGTAGCTGTTGAAGGGACAACGATGTCTCATTCTAGCAATATAGAAATGACAAAGTTTTTTCCAATTTTTGAATTTTTTGATCCAGAATTGGTCAATTAACAAAAGACTAGTTAAGAGGTCCTTACTTTATTAGGACTGCGATTTATGACTAATGGCATAGACGACTGAGGGATTATAATTTTTTGCTTGTGAGGTGATGGCGATGGATTCGGATCCTCTCTTTGGGTAGAGGAAGCTCTCTCTTGGGATAAGAGCTTAACTCCCTTTTGGTGGGAGTTCATCAAAGTTCAAACTTTTTCAAAATTTCCCACTAATCAACACCTTCCAATTAATTTCAACAAACATCACCACTACCGATCTGGTCTGTATCAAAATGCTTGTTTAATGCAGCTCAACTAACGCACTCAGAGAGCTTCAAGGAGGTCTCTCCTGAGGGAACAACAGACGTCTTAAAGTCTTCACCTTATGGTAGCTGAAAGCTAGGTGAATCTTGATTTACCTTTACTTTTTCTTGATCCTATTTCTGAGGTAGTACATGTCTGGTCGTGTCTTGGATTTGTCTGAGACCTTTGTCTGTCGTCTTGTTGTGTAGTCAACCTGGTTATGTCTTTTTCTCAAGTTTCCTCTCTATAAGGTAGTCTTTCTGTGAGCCTTTGTCTTCTGTTGTCCGTTTTTCTTCTTCTCTTTGGTTCGTGTTTTAGTTTTTTCCCTGTCTGGTAGTCGAAGAGTCTTTTTTTCCTAAGTACGTAGAAGGAATACCCGCCAGCGTCTCTGGTTCATCTATGGAGGGAGACCTGACTGAACTGTTACAAAGATTCTCCCTGGAGGGGAACGAGATATCAGGAGCTAAGTTGGAGCTTGAGGACCTTAATAGTGGGAGGAGAGATTGTGCAGAAAGTCTGATAGGGAGAATTATGGGGGAAAAAATTGCAAATTTTACGGGAGTGAAAAATTTCGTGACAGCAGCATGGAGCTACCCCAGGAACTTGACAGTTATGGAGTTAGGACCGAATTTGTTCTAGTTTAATATCCCTAATGTAGAAGAGAAAGAAAGGATAGTAACAGGAGGTCCTTGGATAATGGACAACCAAGTCCTAGTGCTGAACAGATGGTCAGAGGGTGTAGAAGATAACTATGGAGCTTTTACAACTGCACCTTTGTGGGTACAAATGTGGAATCTGCCAGTGCATTGGCTCTCCAAGGAGGTAGGGAGAAAGATTGGAGCAATTTTTAAAGAAGTAAAAGAGGTGATTGTACCTCAGGCGGGGGGAAAAGAGGGAAGACACCTTAAAGTTCTTGCCCTGGTAGATTTGTCTAAACCCCTTCTCAGAGGAACGTTGGTTAATGTAGCAGAGTCACTCAAATGGGTTGCCTTTAAATATGAAAGATGTCCAGATTTCTGTTATAGCTGTGGAATAGTTGGGCATGGGGAACGTACGTGTAAAGAGCAAAGGAATTCATCAGGGAGCCTTCTGGAGCATCAATATGGGCCTTGGCTGTGAGCTGGAAGTAACAGAAGTCCAACAAAGGATAGGATAGTGAGAGAGGATCTGGTGAAGGATAAAAGGTATTGGAAGTTTCAGAATGGTGAAATGGTTGAGAGGGAAAGGACCAGGATACAGTCTGGAGAGAAACTCCTGGAGACGTTGAGGTCTTCAGGGCTAGGAACAAGGAGTAATCTAGAGGTAATTAAAGAGCAGGAGGAGAAAAGGGTAGAAAATCTTCGAAGTAGCCCTCCAAATAAGGTGGGAAGTAGTGGGAAGGAAAGGGACCTTAGTGATGACTCACAGGCCTTGACTAAGGAAAGGCAGGGCCTCTCTCTGATTACTCAGGTCAGAACTGAGGAAAAAGTGACTCCAGTTGAAGTGGAGGAAATGGAAGAGGATAGAGATAATAGGGCAAAATGGCTGGAGCAGGAAAACAGCCTACAAGAGATACCAATTTTTGAGGCAGCAATGTAGGAGGAGAGCCTTTGTGAGGTTAAGAGGCAAGGAGCCATGATAAAGCAAGTTAAAAGGTCTTATAAAAAGCTAAAATCTCCAGTTAAGACAAGAAGGCCTTTGAGAGAGAGAAATGGTCAAGAAGCTAACGCAGTGGGCAGTGGAAAAAGAAAGATGCTGGTGTTTGATGAGGAAATGGAGGACGTGCACCAGAATGAACCAGTAGGTAAAAAAGCAAAGTCTCTTGAGCTGTTTGGCTACACAGGATTGTCTGAGGTGGAGATGGGGTCTCTCCCTAATGGGGCCCCCCAAAAGAAATGAGAGCTTTGGTGTGGAATTGTCAAGGAGTGGGGAGCCCCTTGACAGTTCCCCACCTGAGGGAGGTGAATAACCTCCTCTCTCCAAGCCTTATTTTCCTAAGTGAGACAAAAAACAGAAAACAGGTGTTGGATAGGATTGCTAGAGGTTTACGTTTTGACAACAGTGCAGTGGTAGAAGCTATGCACAAGGCAGGAGGAATGGCAGTTTTTTGGAAGGAGGAAACACAAGTTCTGGAAGTTAATCTAACAGCCTTCACTATTGAAGTCAGGTTAGAGGATGACGATAAGCATTGTGACTGGTGGTTTATAGGAGTTTATGCGAGTTGTGATGGCCAGATAAGGAAGGAACAATGGAGAGTTTTGAGAGATAGAAGCAGGTTGTGGGGAGATAGATACATGATCGTAGGTGATTTTAATGATATAGTGTCAAATGGAGAAAAATGGGGGGGGGTATCATCAGAGAGGAGAGAAGCTTAAGGGATTTTAAGACCTTTATAGAGCAGAGTAACTTGATAGATATAGGCTTTGAGGGACACCCTTGGACTTGGAGTAACCATTGGGAGGATGAAGGAGAAATTAGGCAGAGATTAGACAGATGCTTGGCCAGTTATGAATGGGTTCAAACTTTTGATAAAGCTAAATGCCAGCATATGGACACTTATGCTTCTAACCACAGCATTTTGTGCTTAGATATCGATCCAGAAAAGGGGAAAAGGAAACAAAGGTTCTTTTTTGATAAAAGATAGTTGCATAAGGAAGGGGTGCAACAGGTAGTGGAGCAAGCTTGGCAGAAGGATGAACCTGGTTCACGTATGTTTAAGATTACAAGGAAGATCAGGAACTGTAGAATTGAGTTACTAAAATGGAGGAACACGTTCCAAGCAAACTCTAAAAGGAAAATTGTGGAGGTAAGGAAAAGACTGGAGGCCGTAAGTAGCTCTGAGGCTGCTAGTAAGAAGGAGATGATGACTGAGCTAAAGAACCAGCTTAAGGAAGCATATCAGGAAGAGGAGAAATTCTGGAACCAAAAGGCAAGGCTTGACTGGCTCAGGGAAGGAGATAAAAACACTAAGTATTTCCATGCCTTTGTGAAGGGGAGAAGGATTAAGAATAGAATCAGGAAACTGCAGAGGGAGAATGGCTCTTGGGCTGAAAGTGAAGAAGAAATAGTATCAGAAATCTCTGGTTTCTTTCGAGAATTGTTTACAAGTGGAGGAAGGAATGATATGTCAGAGATCCTTGAGGGTATTCCCCATTCTATTACTCAGGAAATGAATACAAATTTGACTAAACCAGTAGAGGAAGAAGAAATACAGTCAGCTATTTTTTCCATGCAGTCTGATAAAGCTCCAGGTCAGGATGGCATGTCCCCCTTATTCTTTCAAAGGTTCTGGAGCATTATCAAAGGGGATCTAATTCCAGCCATCCAAGCTTTTTTCAGCTCAGGTTTCATGCTAAAATCTATAAATCACATTGTTATTTCCCTCATCCCCAAAACTTTGCACCCAACTTGTTTGAAAAACTTCAGACCCATCAGTCTGTGTAATGTGATTTACAAAACAATCTCCAAAATCTTGGCCAATAGAATGAAACTGGTTCTAGGAAAATGCATTAGTAACACCCAATCAGCTTTTATCCCAGATAGGCAAATTTTAGATAATGTAATCCTAGTACATGAGTACATGCATTACCTCAAAAATAAAAGGCAAGGGAAAGAAGGTTTCATGGCAATCAAGCTTGACATGGCCAAAGCATACGATAGAGTGGAGTGGCATTTTTTGCAAGCTATGATGCAGAAGATGGGCTTTTGTGCAAGATGGATCAACTGGATTACTAGCTGCTTGAGTTCAGTATCTTATTCCTTCAATTGCAATGGGGAATCTAAAGGTTTTGTTACTCCAGAAAGGGGAATAAGGCAGGGAGACCCTCTGTCTCCATACTTATTCCTAATATGCTCAGAAGGATTCTCCAACCTTTTGAAGAAAGCTGAGGAGAGGAAGGACATAAATGGTCTGAGGATCAGCAGGCAAGGTCCTCTCATCACACACCTTTTCTTTGCTGACGACTCACTCATTTTTTGCAAAGCCAACAACAGGCAAGCCACTGAAGTCATGAAGATTCTCAGAACCTACGAAAAGGCTTCAGGACAGTTGATCAACTTGGACAAATCAGCTATCTTTTTCAGCAAGAATGTATCGAGGGAGCTCAGAAGAGAAGTGTGCAGTTCCTTAGGAGGAATGGCTGAGATGAAACAAGGCAAATATTTGGGGCTGCCTATGGTGATTGCCAGAACTAAGGACCAGATCTTTGGGTTCATCAAGGAAAATATAAGAAGAAAGCTGCAGGACTGGAGGAATAAGTTTCTGAGTAATGCAGGTAAGGAAGTACTCCTCAAGGCAGTGTCAATGGCAATGCCTACTTATGCCATGTCCGTTTTCAAACTACCTAGGAAGATGTGTAAAGACATCAGGTCGATGATGGCCAACTACTGGTGGGGAGAAACAAATGGCAAGAACAAAATGCATTGGGTTTCCTGGAGGAAAATGTCAATGAAGAGGAATGAAGGAGGCCTGGGATTCAAGGACATTGAAGCTTATAATAAAGCCTTGCTTGGGAAGCAGATTTGGAGAATAATCACGAAACCGAACCTCCTGGTTAGCAAAGTGCTGAAAGCTAGATACTTCCCCAAAGACTCCATTTTATCATGCAAAACACATAGGAATGCGTTATGGTTTTGGCAAGGATTACTAGGAGCCAGATGCTTAATTGACAAAGGGATGATTAGAAGGATTGGCAATGGGAGGAGTACAAGCATCTGGGATCATCGATGGATTCCTGGATCTAGTTCTGGGAAGCCAACTACCCCAAGACCTCTAAATTCTGACTGTAAGATGGTGCATGAGCTAATCAACCAACAGAGATGGAACAGAAACACCATCTTCAAGTATTTCAATCATAAGGATGCTGAGAAGATCTTAAACATCCCGTTAAGTCTGACTGGGAGAGAGGACAGTTACTATTGGCAGCATAATGCAGGGGGGAATTATACGGTCAGCTCAGGCTATCAATTCCTTATGAAAGAGAGAAGTGAAGCTGAAAAGGAGCAAGTAGAGGCCGTTGGTTCAAGCATCAGAGAAGGAAGTCAGCAAGCCAAACAAATGTGGAAAACATTATGGAAGCTCAACATCAAACATAAGATCAAAATCTTCATTTGGAAATGCATAACAGGTGCACTACCAGTGAGAGCTGAAATCTATAGGAAGACAAGGTTGGGAGATCCAGTGCGTCGAATGTGTAGGGAAGAGCAGGAATCAGTGGAACACTTATTCTTCAGCTGCCCTCACACACAGGAGGTCTGGAAGGCTGCTCCAATAAAGTGGGATGGTGTGGTGGACCAGCAAGGGAGTTTCAAACGATGGTGGATCACAGTTTCAGAAGCTAGGAGAAGGCCAAGAGGGAAGGAGCATATTGGACTGACAGCGAACATTTTATGGCAGGTGTGGAAAGAAAGGAACAAGAAGGAGTTTGAAAACAAAGGCAGCTGTTTACCAGCTAGGACTATAAGTAAAGCTCATAAGGAGTGGTTGGAACAGGAGGAAAGCTTAAGTAGGATAACTAGGCCAAGCACAGGAGAAACAACTCCCAACAATGAAGAACCTATTCAGGGGCTAGAAGAAGCAGAAACAATTGTTATGGAGGTGGCAACAGAGAGTCAGTTCGGGAAGGTCTCTTTGGGGATTGGTGTCAGAGTGCGGAGGCATCCAAACACTCTAATGGCAGAATGGGCACTTAGGGAGAGAAGTTTGTGGGTGACAGAACCATTAATGATGCAGTGGCCATAAAACTGATTCTGTGTAAAGCTCTAGAGCAGAGATGGAGCAGGATTGCGATCCACTTTCAAAACCAAGAACTGATGAGACAGATTAGCAATAGGAGCCCCTCCAACAGCAGTTTAGCTACATTGATAGAGGACATTCTTAACATGCAGGGAATGTTTCGCATGTGCTTGTTTAGCTCTGTTAGGGACGAAAGAATAGAAAGAAGTAAAAGTTTAAGTCATCATGCCTTTGGCATTATTGTGGATGAGGAATGGATTGTTCCTCAGTGCTATTGAGCACTGTTTGTACAGATATATCGAGCCTTTGCGCGTACTGTGTTTTTTAGCATTTGGAATGAAATGATTCTAACGTTTCGATAAAAAAAAAAAGGTGATGGCGATGCGACATTTTGTTGCTGCCAAAAGCCGTTTATTCTCTCTTAAAGAAAAGCTCCTTTGCTGCTCCTTTGCTTTTGGGGTTAGGGCTTCTTTTGTTGCCAGTAGAGGAGGCTCTAGCCTTTTTTCTACTGGACAGGTTTTTCCTACTACTAGAGCATTTTCTAGTATTATTAGTTGCCCTTCCTTCCCTTTTAGGGCTGCTACTAATATCTTGGGTCCTAGCCGGCCTTTGTCATCTGGATATGATATGACTATAGTTATTGGTGTAATTCATAAATAATCACTCAAATATCCAGAAATTTGTTTTACACAAATTTCACCAAGAAAATGGGAATAAAGATAATGATATTGAGACATGTTAGAATACTGACCTTAAAGTGTTATTTGTCCCTACTACACAAAGTATTTTCTATAGATTTATAGTAAATTATCTCTAAAATACAATAAGATGTTTAGAGAAACTTGATAGCAAGTGTCAAGTTTTCTCTACAAAAAAATGATCAAATGCTCTAGTTATTTAATTTGTTAGAGAGTTGTTATTTTATAGTGAAAAACACAACCCAAAAGTCATATAATTGTTCAGCCATTATTTCACACATTTATAGACATTAAAAGGCACCATTAAGCCTCTTCAATGGAGAGAAAGTGCCAAAAATATTTCGGAGACTTTCTAGCTTCCAACAGGCCTTTAAGTTTTCGTTTCTTTGTTATAATAAGACTTATTCCTATTTTATTTCACAAACTATTCTAACAATCCTCCACTTAATTTGTAAATGAAATGAACAAACTAACACATAAAATATCATGTATAAAGAAAAGTATCGTTAGATTTAAACTTTACTTTTAGTGAAAATGCATCACCAAATCTAACTGAATCAATGTCACATGTAGCATTAAACCATGATTTGAAAATTAGATTAGATATATTACATACATGGTATTATAAACATTGATCAATTCAAAAAAAAAACTTTAGTTCTATTACTGATCATATGCTCCATCCTAGATTCATGATCATAAACAAAAACAAACCCAACTTTTGCTAGAAATGACACCATTTCTTTGATCATATAGGTGAAGACACTTTCAAATTTATAAGACCAAGTAGTGTGAAAAGATTTACACTTGATTAAGAATTTAATTTTAACATGTACTCAACCTCTCATAATAGTACACACCAGTATGGTAGGAATCTACATATATATAACAGTACTTAGTACTCACAATCACTTAACAACTTGTTATTACCCCTCAAACCTTTTCATCTATTGGTAGTGTTAGAGTCAATGTAGGGTTTCTATTGCAAGTGATTTTAGATTAAGATTTTCAATCCATATCCAATGAAGTTAAATTCACCAAGTCCCTTGACAAGGGTTTAGTCAATGGATATACTTAATTATTGTAAATTCTCATATACAACAAATAATGCATCATTTTTTGTTAAAATTTGTCTAAGGCACTCAAGTTCTAAACTTAACATGTTTAGATTTACCCTTACACCTTATTCAAGGCTTCAAACATAGTAGCTACACATTACAAAATAAAAAGACCAGAGGCATAGGTGTGGTCGCAAACCCTAAACCACTTTGCCTTTTTCTTACATATGCAATAACCAAAGTTTTAACTTCAATAATTAGCATGTTATGATCACAACATACTCTTGATTGAATTTAGAATAAATGTAATTAACAACATTTTTAGTACCTAAATCCACTTGAGAATAACACAGATACATATATTTCATGTAATTATTTAGGCATTTGCTTAGATACTTATGCATAAATATTGAGCAATAATCAATCAAGGTAATAAAATAACTATTACCACATTTGAATGTACATCACACGTTTCTTTTCTTAGACTATGTTTTGACATAAAATATTATGTTCTATATTCGCATATCAGTTAACTACCAAACCATAAAGAATGAAAAGATTCAATTAAATAAGTAGAATTATCATGCTTATTAATATCTGTGTTAAACATGTCACATAAACTTGTTTGACAAATATACCATTCTTGGATAATATTAATTACTCATTGTCTTTTTAATTAATATTTACACCCAAAAATTTTCTTTTTCTTGGACGTTCCAACAAGATTATTGTTGTTATTCTTCTTTTTCTCCATATAGTTCATTATAGGATCAATATCAGCCTTTCTTTTAGAGAATTCAAGCATCTTCTTTTATACAAAGATGCTTTCGAACATGATAAACAATGAATGTCTTATTATTGTGTACTAATTTTCTTTTATAGTCATTTCAACTAGGAGTAATTTTAATTAATAGTTTCCCCTACTATGAAATAACATAGAAATCTCTATTCTATGATCTTCAAGTTCAATTAACAATATTTGTAGATCATGTACTTGGTCACGGAGAGGAGAACTATCATGAATACAAAATCCAAAATATTCAACAAGAAATTTGTCCACACTTTATTTGAGTTTTCTTGTACTTCAATGCAGTCCAAACTTCCCTAGAGAGTTTGATGACAATGAACAAATCATAGAGACGATCCAAGATAATGTTTATCACTTTGTCCTCTTCACACTTCTTTCTCTCCACTTTCAAGCACTTTTTTCATTGTCTTATTAAGATCATCTTGTCTAGTACAGATTGGTGGCCAAATCAACACTTTGATTACATTTTCGATAGTAGACTCGTTTTGCACCAATAACTCACAAATAACACCTTCAAATTATTTGTGTAATTGATACTTAAGCATACAAAAGTGTTGAAATTTATATTACACAAATTTCATTAAGAAAGTGAGGATAAAGATGATGATCTTAAGGCATGTTAGAACACTATTCTTAAGGTATTATTTGCCTTTACTACATAGTATTTGCTAGCGTTATGTCAAATTATCTCTAGAATACAACAGGATTTTTAGAGAAACTTGATAGCAAATGTCAAGTTTTCTCTACAAAGAAATGATCAAATGTTCTAGTTATTTGATTTATTAAGGATTTGTTATTTTATGGTGAAAGACACAATCAAAAGTCACAAAACTGTTGAACCATTATTTCACATATTTATTGATATTAAAAAGCGCTATTAAACCCCTTCAATAGATAAAAAGTGTCAAAAACATTTTCAGAGACTTTGAGGCTTCTAACAGATCTTTAAGTTTCCACTTCTTTATTCTAACAAGCCTTATTTCTTTTTAATATTACAAATCATTTGGATAGTGGCTTCTTTCACAAAAGGAGGGATGTGGGTGCTATCTGCGACTCGCTTTTTCTACATTTGAGATGCCACCCTCCCCTCCATTTGAGAGAGGGCTTTTGAGGCTAACTGCTGACCTTTCACGTGATTTTGCACACATTTATCTTTGGACTATTACTTTGACAAGTTTTGCACATCTCTCTAGATATGTTTTCTAAAGCAGGACGGGGATTGATTTTATATACAAGCTTGATAATTGGTTGTGTGTAGATAGTGATGCTGCTCGCAACAAATAAAAGGCTTGAATAACTAGGAAATAGGGCCTCACTAATGTTAAGTCTGTTCTCAGAAAATTGACTAACGAAAATGATAGGGTTCTTAGCAATCTGATAAAGATAATAATAAATCAAATAAATCAAACAGAGAAACATAAAATTTATGTGGTTCTGTTAAATTGACCTACGTTCACGGACGAAAGGGTAACAGATTTACTATAACAAAAAGAGAGTACAAAATCCTATAAAATAATTCCTAGGCCTAAAAGGCACCTAGAACTAAAAATACAAAAGAGTCTAAATGGCACAAATTACTTAACGGTCCAAAAATCTATAACTTCCTCTTTTGATTTGATGTCTAACCAAAACTCCTCTCCAATTGGGTTGTGATCCGTTAAACTCTCTTAAATTGGTGTATACGGCACTTGGGTTGGTGCCGTTAACACAAGTAAATTGATTTATATTTACTATATTTATAACCACCAAAAGGAGAGACTTCTTTATAAAACTCTCGATTTGGGATACAAAGACAAGCTCAACAATTGGTTTCAATTCTCTTCAGTTGCGTAAATTGATAAAATTTTGGTGTAAATCGGTATAATTTCGTTGTAAACTTGAATTATAATTGAATTGGTATAAAATTCATGATTATTCCAAAAACATATTAGTTTACACTGAAATTATGCCAGTTTACATAACTGGATGAAATTGGATAGACCTCAATTGCAGAGGCCTCGAATCCAAAGACTATCATCACTTAACTTTTGGACAGTACTGAAATTTCATGCTACTTTTTTTACTTTACTAGTATAGAATACAATACGTTGATATATGCAAATATTTGGCTTTACCATCACCCTATAGTCACAAATTTTATTGTCAAATTCACATTTGCTGCCGCTAGGTTTTCTGCATTGCTTTGTCGGTAGAACATATTTTTTCTAGATTGAAGAAAAAAGTATCATGATAATGCTTTCAAAGTTTTTAGATTTTTGGATTGGTTAAACTATCACAATTTGATAGTAATTTTGGGCTTTTTCTTTGAGTTAGAGTTGCTTTGGATACAAAAAAAGTGAAAAAATGGTTGACAAATAAAAATTGGATCACATTAAAAGTTCTCCAAAAAAAAATCACTAGTTTAACATAAAGGGTCAATGTAGGGGTGGGCACGGGTCGGGTACCTGCTCTATTCACCATTTGGCTGATTCGACCCGCACCTTGCGGGTCAACCATTTTTTGACCCTTACCCACCCCACATATCAGCGGGTGCCCTATAATCGGGTACCCGCTGAAATAGGGTCGGGTCAATGGGTACCCGTCCCGCTCCATTTATCATTTAATTTTAAAAAAATGATTTATACCAATTTAATTTTATATTTTACACATTCATCTAAGATTTAAGAAATGTTTTTTTTTTCTAAAAAAAGGTTTTCCACCAAGAAACAAGCATG